CTCGTGGGCGTGGGCGTGGGACGGTGGCGTCTCTCTGGCCTCTTCCTCTGCCCCCGGCCATTGCCTCTGCATCTGCGCTGGGCTTTTGCTTTTGCCTCTGCTGCCGCCGCCCGCCTCGTGGGGGAGGGGCTGGGGGGAAGCCGTCCTGGGCCCCCTGCCCACGTCTGTCTGTCTGTACCCGGCAGGTCCTTGGGCAGTGCGGCACTGGGGACGCAGGTAGGGGGAGGCTGTCCTGGGCCCCCTGCCCACGTCTGTCTGTCTGTCCCCAGCAGGTCCTTGGGCAGTGCGGCACTGGGGACGCAGGTAAGACCAAGAGGCGGGATGGCTTTTCAGGAGCAGGAGCTGAGGGGCTATTGGGGCGGGCCCTGCCCTTGGGGAGAGTCCACTGGAGCCGAGCTTCATCTGACCGGCCCTGGGTTCGAGTGGGCTCTTGGCACCTGCTCCAGGCTGACCAGGGGGCTCTGCATGGTCTCTTGCTGCTGACTGCCTTTCTTTATTTTCTGTCCCTGCAGGGTGCACAGATGGGCCCAATGAGACCTCTACAGCTGAGGACACTGGGTGAGTCCCTGTCACTGCGTGTCACTGTCGTCTGTAGTGTGTGTGGTGGGAGGAGCGGTGTGCCCACAGTGGAGGGCCTTGGGTTTAGGAGCAGGGTCTATTACCACCTCAGTGTGGGACCTTGAACATGCCTCTCATCTCCTCTGGACCTCAGTTTTCCTACCCATAGAATGGGGACAATGGACCCTGTGCTGCCCCGGGTTTGCTGTGCTGATTACTGGGAGATCCCTGGGTGGGGGCCACCCTCTGAGAAGGGGGAGAAGGCATGGATGAGCCCCTCAGAGAGGGGCGTCGTGTGTGCGGGCTCCGTGTGGAGCCTGGAAGCAAGGCTTGGACCACTGTGGGGATATCGGGGTGCCCAGGTTGGCTTCACAGTTGACAACAGCGTCTGACTCCTCAGAGCTGACTGAGAGGCCTCATCACTGAGGGTGGCAGCCTGGGGGAGGGGCACGGTGGCAAGTGGGGGACCCGTGTCCTGCTCTAGGGAGGGGCCCTGCTCGGTTCTAGCGAGTCTCTGCCTCACAGGAGTGCGGGCCAGTGTGGCCAGATGCTCCCAGTTTTCAAGACAAGCTAGAAATCCAGGTTTTTATGTAAAAGCCTTAATTTTTAGATATTGCCAACTAGTCGAGAAGTTTTCAGGACCTGGTGAACCTGTGAAGTAAGCCTGAAGCTTCCAGTTTGCAATTTCTGCTAGAACTCTCCATTCACGTCATTCCCATTGCTTCATTCCTTCACTCGTTCATTCGTTCCTTCACTCATCCATTCGTTAGACTGTTGACCCCTTGAGAGTGGGGGCTTTTGTCCTGGTCGCTGCTGAACCCCTGGTGCCCAGCACAGGGCCTGCGATAGGGTGGGGACCTAGCACGTGTGGGACAGACAAATGCATGAATGAATACATATGTATAAGCACATCCATCCACCCATCCATTCGTTCATTGCTCCAGCTCTCTCTCTTTCTCTCTCTGTTTCTTTTGGTCCACGATTTCTTTCTGAGGGCTGCTCAGCTAGTTCCTGGGACCATTCAGGTGATTTAGGATGAGGACACCCAGAGGACTTGCCAGCTTTCTTTTGGGCCATGGCTGGTGGGGACAGTTTGCCCTGGGAACATGGAGCTTCCCTGAAGAGGGTGGGCCTTCCTGGAGGCCAGGTGGGTCTGGACCCAATGTTTGCCCCGAGGGCCAGCTACGTATTAATAATTTGTGGGGCCCAGAGCAAAATGAAAATGTTTCATGAAAATGAAAATTCTTTTTAAAGAATTTTCAGACTGTGACAGCAGAGCATGAAACCAGAAACAGGCCCTTCTAAGGATGGGGCCCTGTGTTATTGCACAGGTCACACACGCATGAAGCCAGCCCTCTCTGTCCCCGTCACAGGCAGCCCCCCATGCTGCATTTGGGTCCCCAAGCAGCTCCCACTCCTCACCAGCTGCCCCAGACGGCCAAGGCTGGGTCTATAGTCCCAGAGCCTGGTCCAGCCCTGGGTGAGCATTCGAGATTGGCAGGATTTGAGGTGGGTAGAATTTCCCCACCACTTCGGGGCCCTTTGAGAGCATCCTGGACAAGCCCCCACCATACAAAATGGGAGCCAAGGACAAGGAAGGGCTGGCTGAGGCCTGGCCCCCAGTGGGCAGTCAGGGCAATGTGGCTGGCCTGGTCCTTCAGGCCACTCAGCTGACCACCAGCCCCTCCGCAGGACGGGGCCATGGCTGCTCAAGTGGCTGGAACAGAACCTGGAGAAAGTGTTGCCACAGCCCCCGAAAACCGCCGAGGTGAGTCGAGGAGAAGGAGGGGCTGGCCGCTGACCACTTGGGAGCGTTTCTGGGCCCCAGGAGGACCTGCCTCCTTCAGCGGGCTCTCCCCACCGGCAGGACCCACAGTGGAGATGATCTCCTCCTTGGAGAGTCCTTGTTGGGGAGGAGTGACTGTGACGGGGGGAGGAGGGGTGGAGGGATGCAGGGGAGGAAGAGAGCTCCTGCCACCAGCCTCAGGCCAGGGCACACTGGCCAGGGTGGGGAGTGCACAGGACTGGCTTTGACCTGTGACCCACTCCCTGTTTATCATCCAGGGCTGGAGAGATGAGCCCACAGATCCTGCCTTGGGCCCAGGTACAGGGAGGGGAGACTGGGAGGGGCTGCCTGGGATGGTCACAGGTTGGGCGGGGGGTGGAATCTGGGGCCCGGGGGAGCCCAGGGGAGGCTCTTAGCCCTCATCCAGACTGGGGAGGGATTCAGGGCTGGCTAGGAGCAGGCCATTGTGGGGGGCACTGGACCCCCTCCCCAGTCCAGGCTGGGAAGCCAGAGGCTTGGGACAGACTGGTCTTGGACAAGTCCCTCCCCCTCCCTGGGTCTCAGTTTCCATGACTGTCTGGTCTGTTTGATGAAAGGGCTTGTTGGGGTGGTCCTGGGGGGCTCCCCACTCAGTCAGCCATGGTAGTGCCTCAAATGTGGCCCCCTGTGCCCTGGTGGGGTTGGAGGCAGCCCTGCTGTGGCATCTTTAGCTCCTTGCTCTCCCCACTGCTTAGAACCTCTGGAACCGCCCCTGGAAACAGAGCCCAAGCCGCAGGCCCAGGAGAGCCCCTCTCTGCCCACTCCCGGCCCCCAGGAGCCCCAGGAGGAGCCGGCTCCAGAGTCCCAGCCTGGGTCCTCCCTGCCACCCAGGGACCCTGCCAGGTGAGCCACCCCAGGTGCCATGCCCCCCACAGGGAGCCCCAGCCCAACACCCAACCTTCCCAAAACTAGTTTTTAAAATTATAAATGTGACACATGCACCTGGGAGAATATTCGACCGGGTTTCCAGGCTCCTTCCCGGGGCAACCGCATGAGTGGCTTCTTGCCTTCCTCACATTTTCCACGTCTGTCCGGGCTTATGAGCACGTTTTTCTTTTTAAACACACAAGAGCAAACTAGAATACTCTTCTGTACCTTCCTTTTTCTTTTTTTTTTTACTAAAAAATTGTATGTTAGTGGTGGTTTTATACACATGGGTCTATTTCATTCTTTTTTTTTTTTTTTTTTGAGAGACAGAGCCTCACGCTGTCACCCAGGCTGGAGTGCAGTGGCCTGATCAAAGCTCACTGAAGCTTCAAACTCCTGGGCTCAAGGGATCCTCCTACCTTAGCCTTCTGAGTAGCTGGGACTACAGGCATATGCTGGCTACTTATTTGTTTATTTTTTAAATTTTATACAGAGACAGGGTCTCACTATGTTGCTGAGGCTGGTCTTGAACTCCTGGACTCAAGCAATCCTCCCACCTTGGCCTCCCAAAGTGTTGGGATTACCAGCGTGAGCTACCAAGCCTGGCTATTTTTTCTTTTAATAGCTCCATTATATGGATGTTCTAGCTTTTATTTAACCATGCAGCAGACGTTTAGGTCTGTTTCCACTCTTTAGCTGCCATGAATAGTACATGCATCATATAAGTAAATCTGTAAGCTTAAATCAGCAGAAATGGAGTTACTGGGCCAAAGAATACTTGCATTTAAAATTGGGATAGGTATTGCCAAATGCTCCTGCCCTCGAGTTATGTGAAAGGCCCAAAATGCACTTCTGGGGTGGGGGGAGTATGGGGGAGCCCGAGCTGCCGGCCGGGGCCCGAGCAGTCGGCAGAGGCTCTCTTAGGATGGATGAGGAGGAAGAAATGGTCTTTGGTCTGGAGGACTGGTTCTGGCTTCCAGCAGGCTCTGCCTTTTGGTAGGCTCGTTATCTGCTGTGGGAGGGAGCTGACTCTGGCCTCAGTTTCCCCACAAGCCTTTTTACCTGGACACAGCCCATTCTCCCACCCACAGGTTGGTAGCCTGGGTCCTGCACAGGCTGGAGAAGGCGCTGCCGCAGCCAGTGCTCCACGGGAAAGCGGGGGAGCAGGTGAGTGCTGGGCCCGGGGAGTGGGGCCCCGGTGGTGTTGGTAAGGGTGGGATGGCTGGCCTGTGTCCCTGGGGGTGGGGGTACAGAGGGGAGAAGGGAGCTGCAGAGGGAGCCCAGCCCACACGGGCTGCCTGTCTGCGCGGCGTGCACTCATCCCACCCGCACTCTCTGAGGCACGACGGCCACAGCGCTGGGACGTGCTGGCCCAGCCCCACCTGCCAGGAGCTCGCAGTCGGTGGGGAGGTGCTTCCATGGGGGAGCAGAGAGGATGCGGGCCGCAGAGGTGGAGCCTTCCGGGGCATCAAGGAAGGCTTCCCAGTGGGGGTGGCTTCCAAGCATGTGCAAAGGTCCAGAAACAAGAAAGACTGGAATGTTCTGGGAAGAAGTGGGGCTCACAGGAAGCCAGCAGGCCCTACGTGCATTCCTGACAGCCTGGGGTTCCAACCTGGGTGGCTAGGGGAGCAGGGCCTGTCACTCCTCTCCTCTGCTTCCCCAAGAACCTGGCCCTTCTTTTTCGGTGGCAATTGGACATCTTCATAGAAGCACCTGGAACTGGGAGGTGGGAGGCCTAAATCTCAGTTCTGGCTGCGTGACCTTGGGCCTGGCCCTCTCAGAGCCTTAGTTGTCCCACCTGAGCAATGGGCTAACAGTCCCGTTACCACCCAGGCTGTGAGAATATAGGAAAAGAGTTCTGTAAACAAAGATGTCTAGGCCCAGAAGAGAGGGTGGCCTGGCCAGGTCCTGGGCCTCTGGGTCACTCAAGGCCCCAGCCTGGCTCTCCTGAGCAGGTGCCCCTGCTGTGGCTGTCTGGGGGCACCCCCACCTTGCTAGGCTCTCAAAGCCCCCTTCCCCCAGTTCTCTCACTGGCTCTGGGCCCAGCAGGGACCATCTTCTTCATTTCATGGGGCAACCGAGGCTCAGCGAGGTGGTCCAAGTGGCTCGAGTCAGACCCGGGTCTGGGCTCCTGCAGCCTCATGCACCTGGCCCTGTCCCAGGGCTGGCTCCTGCCCAGGAGGGAGGCTGCAGTGGAGGGGGCAGGAAGCCTCAGGACCCCTCCCTGTGGGCTGAGGCCTCAGGCTCTGTGTGCCTGCGGCCTCTGCAGGTGGCAGAGGCAGTTTGGCTTAGAATTTCCCAGAGGAGGAAGGGGGTCTTGGGGCAGGGACAATGGGTTGAGGAAGATGCCCTCAAGAGAGGGGGCCCAAGGACGGGGTGGGCAGGGGAAGGTGTGGAGCTGGGAGCTTTGAGACCACCCTCCAAGGAAGGTGGGAGGGGTCTCTCACACAGACAGAGCGGAGAGCGGGTGTTCCAGGCAGGGGCCGGCCAAGCAGCAGTCCTGGCGGGACAGGGGCCGGAGCGAGGCGGACCTGAGGCAGGAGAGTGAAGCAGGGAGGAGCGGGCTGAGGCTCTGGGGTCTTTGGCAGGTGTCACAGCAGGGGACAAGGAAAGCGCCTCTTGCTCCTGCCTGTGCCGGGCTGGCCAGAAGTGCACAGCAGCTTTTCCTCTTTTCTCCCCAAGCAGGAGCCTGACTGTCCTGGGACGTGTGACGTGCAGACCAGTGAGTGGCATATTAGCGGGTCTTTGTGCGCATCTCTGGGAGGGTTGCTTGGTGTCCTGGGGTCTGAGCGCATGCGGGCAGAGGGGCAGTCCCTGGCCAGGCCTGGACTGACACGAGGGAGGGGCACAGTCGCGGTCTCCTGGCCTGGAGCTGAGAGAGCCTGGAGCTCTGCACGCCCCACCTCTGGTCACCCCCAACAGGTAGCCAGAGCCAATGGTGGCTGGAGGCCTCCTGGGCCTGGCTTCTAGCTCCTTTCTAGTCAGAGAAAACAGCCCAAGGCCAAGCCAGATGGGCCCCCCCATTCCAGCTGGCAACCCCCACAGAGAGCTCACTCCACTTCCCCCTTGGAGTGGGCAAGTGGGTTTGGCCAAGCAGAGTCCTGGTGAGGGGCAGAGGGGAGAAGGGACAGGGGCAGGGTCCCCCTGGAGGAACCAGACCCCACAGACTCCAGCTCCCTTGAGCTGGGTGTCCCCCTCACCTGCGGCCGGGTGGGGCAGGTATGTGATACGTTTCATCCTAGCCCTGAGTCAGGACTGGGGACAGAGGACTGAGGCCAGGAAGGGACTAGAGGTAGAATCTGCTGTAACTTCTTTTCATGGCCTCCAGAAAGGCACGCATTGCCTTCGTTCATTCATTCATTCATTCGTTCGTTTAACAAATAGTTAAGGACCGCCTACTATGTGCCAGGCCTGTGATGGGTTCTAGCGGTGAGCAAAGCAGAGTGCAGGGCCTGTGGGTGGTGGCATCCCCTGTTCCATCCTGGACACCAGCCCTGTCACTGTGGGCCTCAGGATGTCCCAGGATTGCCCCACTGTGTCTGCAAGGCTGTGCCCAGCCCCAGCCCCACTGGGCGGATGGATGGTGGTCTCCATGAGTGCTCTGAAGCTGGCGTGGCCTCTGTGGCCCGGGACAGACAGGCTGGCCCACTGTGGCACTCGGGCCTGACTGAAGGTCCGAGGGAGGTGTCATGGTTTGTGGTAATTATGACAATGTGAGGAGGAGGAGAGCCTGCCAGCTCAGAGCAGGGCATACTTGGTCTCTCATGGAGCTCCTGGCCATCCTGGGGCGGACAGAGCAGGGACCCCCATGGCTGTGGGGGCAGGCAGGGAGCAGTGCTCAGAGAACTGAAGAAACCTACCCAAGGTCACACAGCACATCTTGTGGAGCGGTGATTAGAGTCCACCTGGCCCGGCAGCAGCTGCTCAGTCAGGCAAAGGTTAAAGGAACCAAAAATATTTCCCAGGGAAGAGACCCTCCCGGGGCCACGCCTTGCTCTGAGGATGGGGTGCTCAAGCCCCTCTGCTCCTCCTCTCTGCTCCTGCGGAAGGAGCCGGGGTTCCCAGCCAGCTGGGGTCCCGGCCTCCTCACAGTTCCCGGAGCGTGGCGTGGATAGGTGTTGGGGCAGCCGCGGGCCCGCGTTGGCAGGGTTGTTCCCTTCTGAGGCTTTGACGGGGACACCATCCTGTGCCTGTCTCCCCAGCCCGGCCTCGGACAGTGCTGGCAGCCCTTGGCGTTCCTGGGCTGTGCTCCAGCCTCTGCGTTGTCTCCACACAGCCTTTTCCTCTGCGTCCGCGCGTCGGATCTCACTCTCCTTTCTTTTATTAGGCCCACCCTAAATCCGGGATGATCCCGCTTAGAGATCCTTATCTTAATCACATCTGCGAAGACCCTATTTCCAAATAAGGTCACATTCACACGTAATGGGGTTAGGACTTGGGATTATCTCTCTGGGGGACACTTGTCAGCCCCCGACATGGGGACACTCTGAGGGGCTGGGGGACGAGCGTCCCAGGCCCCCATCCATTCAGTCATCCCGTCACTCGCTCATTCACTCCCTCCGCCTGTCCACCCAGCCGCCCACCCTCTGTCTTCTCCTTTGTTCCAGGGGCGATGGCAGCTGGAGGCCTCTGAAACAAGGGAGAAGGGATCTGGGAGAGCGCGGTGGACACACGGACGGATGGATGGAAGGACAGAGGATGCCCTGAAGAGAAGACCTTCCGGGGTTGGGGAGGTGGCCACTGACTCCCCCGATTTGAACAGTGAACCCCTGCCCCTCTCCCACTCCCAGGCAGGACCAGGGAAGCCAAAGTCACCTACACCAGCCCCAGAGCCTCTTCCCTGCGCTGGGCAAGGGGCCAGGACCCAGACGGGAACCAGGGAGAGGCCAGCCCTGGGCAGCCTGTGAGATTTAGGCTAGAAAACAGGAGGACTTCCCACCGGAAGCCTGGGGGAAGCTCCATTGCCAAGCACAGTGGCGCATGCCTGTAGCCCCAGCTATTCGGGAGGCTGAGGTGGGAGGATCCCTAGAGCCCAGGAGTTCGAGGCCAGCCTGGGTGACAGAGAGAGACCCTATCTCTGAAATATTTTTTTTAATTAAAAAAATTGCCCCATGGAGGACTCTGACACTGATGGTCTTTTTGAGAGGACGCCCGCACAGCCCTCGGCACAGCGCCTGGCACAGTCATGGGACACAGTTTTCCCAGAGAGGTTCTCCTTAGGCCTGGCCACATTCTCTCCCTCAGAGGGTCGGGGACCCCCAGTGGACAGCTACACGCATTGTAATTAACATTAAAAAAGCATAAAAAAGCATAAATCAAACCAGCGCTGGCATGATATTATTGCTTAGGATAAAGATTGCTCAGGTTTTGAGAGCGGGTGGCCTGTAGAGGCCGTGGCCAGGGTATGGGAGCTGCAGGCAGGGAGGAAGTAGCCAGGGGGCCTGAGCCGCGTGCCCTGGGTCCCAGCTGGCCCACAGATGTCTTTGCTGAGCCAAGGAGTGATTTGAAAGATTAGAATTAGTTGTGAACATTTAAACGTCAGGCGGCTTTATGTAAAAAAATCTGGTTTCTTTTGAAAACCGGGCAGACCTGGCTGTCCTGGGCCCACACTGTGCTCGTCAGGATGGTCTGAGCAGCGACTGGCACGTGCCCCGCTAGGCCTTTGAGTTTGAGACCCCCCAATGTCTCAAACTGTCGGCGAGGGGAGGGCAATGCCCGTTGAGGGGACAAAGTGAGCAAATTTCTGAAGGTACAGGAGGGAGGGGGTGTACTGGAGAGTCGGGGGTACTTCAGCTCATCTGGAGCCCAGAGTCCTTAATGCAGAAGACAAAACTAGAAAAGTTGGGGCCTGACTTCAGGAGAAGAGGCTGTTGGCAATGGGGAGCCATTGAAGGTGGTTGACCAGGAGAGTGACTCAGAAAGATTACTCTGAGGCTGAGTAAGCATCTGAGGCAGGGAAAGCAATCAAAGCAGGGCCACCTGGTGACAACTATGAAGAATGTCCCACCCCTAGATCTTCGAGTATGGGGAGGCTGAGAATCTGCTTCTTTGAGGAGCACCCACCTCCCCAGTTGATTCTGATAATGGGGAGGGGCTGGGACCATACTCTGAGAAATTGCCGGTGAGTGGGTGGTTGGGAACGGAGCCAGGCAGGAGGAGATGTGGGCCTGGACCAGGGAGAGGCAGCAGGATGGGGTTCACAACGCAGGCCTGCCCGAGAGGATGGAGGCTTGGAGCCAGGCCTTTGACAGTGGCCCAGGGTCTGGGTGGGGCCTTGGCCTAGGAGGTCTATCCCCAGGTGGGGCTGCTGACTCTCACTGGCTGGGGTGAGAACCCCATCTGATGGCCCTGAGGGCAGAGAGGTCGCTGACCAGGAGGTGGCAGTGCTGACCAGACAGAGCAGCAGTTTAGCACCCACAGCTCCCAGGCACCTGGCAAAGCTGGGAGAGCCATGACCCAGACACCTGCGGAGAGAGGCTTGCAGCTCCAGGCGCAGGCCAGCGGCTCCTCCACCAGGCTTGCCGGGCCCCTGCCAGGGGGCCGTGTGGCAGGGTACCCCATCCCCGCGGAAGGCCACCATCCTCTTCGCAGAGCTATAGAATCTTTAGCTATAAAATGGGGACGGTATAGGGCATGTCACAGGCCAGCTGCAGAGATGAAAAGAGGAAACCCTTGTAAAACGCTTGTTCACTAAATAGGACCTAAAAGAGAAGGTTTGTGAAAAGGAAAGCAAGTGTGTAAGCAAGGACCACATCAATTCTTAAGGACAGCACCCATCACAGACCGGCCACCAGTGCAGTGAGATGCTCACAGGGCATGCTTATCACCTGGGATAGCATGCCAGGGAAACAGGAATCAGGACACCTGGCTCTGCCTCCAACTTCCTGTGTGGCCTTGGGCAAGACACTCAGCCTCTCTGAGCCCGCTCTCTGGTCTATAAAATGGGAAAAGTCCTGTGAAAGCTAATGAGCTCGCAGGCAAGGGGATGTTCTGTCCGCTGGATGTCCTCTGCTATGCCCAGGCAGGAGCTTGCACCCCAGCGGGCTGCTCAGAGAGGGCACGCTACACCGTTGCTGGACAGCAGCACAGAATGACACGCACAACGCGCTGCACCACCGGATTCAGGGTCTCAGAGGAGCCTCCCTGGTCAACCCCCAGGGATGTTTTCAGGGCCAGGGGAGCCGGGACTGACCGCGGAAAAGGCCGGTTCAGGGTGTTTGTGGGGGTTTCCCGGGAGGGCGGCAGCGCCTCCTCTGCGAGACAGGGATGATATCTGTACCTGGAAGCTGGGAGCTCCGCGCCTGGCACGTGGGAAACTTCCTTTATGGGAAGGCATGTATCTGTGTCTCAGTTTGCTCATCTGTAAAATGGGGATAAAATACAAAAGAGAGAAAATAAAATGGGGATAATAACCTCAAGAAGTTGACGTGAAAACTAATGGAGTTAATCCATATAAATCACTTAGCACAGGTCCTGGCGCATAGTAGGTGAGCAAAAGTGTAGCCATGGTTACTATTATTATATTATGCTACACCATGAGCAGTAACTTCCAAAGTCACAGGGTGAGACTTGAGGCCAACTTCCATTTAAAGTCAGCGTTACTGATTCACGCTTGACTTGAGGGCCACCAAGATCCCTGGAGCTTTTTGGGTACACCTGGTACCCAGCCTATCTCCCCCTTTCTCCCTGACACCCTCCTGGGGGCGGGCTTAGGTTCCAAGGAGGCACCCCTGCGCTTTCTGTGCGTGTGCTCCAAGCTCACACGCCCAGAGCGTTTTCGTCGTCAAGGACCAGGGTGCATGGAGAAAGGTTGCAAATTACAGACTCCTCTCCGAAGGTGGACTGTCCCCATGAGAAAGTCAATTCCCTTGGAGGGTGGGGCCTCTAGCTAGGCCCAGGAGAGAGAGGACTCCTGGAAGCAAGTGCTGAGCTTACCGGTATGCTGTCACCAGGGGGCGGCGTCGAGAGAGGAGGCGGTGGGCAGGCTTTCTCTGCATCCCTCGGGACAGTCCGGGCCCCCCTGCACCTGGATGGAGCAAAGCGGGCCTGAGCCTGGGTCTTCTGGCGTCACCTTGTGATGCTGGGATTAGAAGCGTCGTTTCTGCTTCTGCGCAAACCTCTGAGAAGGAGCCCCCCCCCCCACCGTGAGACACGAACTTGATAAACCGTAATCAAAGCTCTGTCTCAAGAGGGCAGAGGGGAGGAGGAACGGAAGGAGACAGGGCAAATGAGTGTGGGCTTCAACCAGTCACCTGAGCGCTGATCTGGTTGCTAAAGGTCCCGCCGATAACGGCGCCATTTCCCCACTGCTCGTGATGGCCAAGGCCAAGCCCACTCTCCCCCACATCCCACAACGACTCCTCCTCCTCTGTCGCCTGCAGTCAGCATCCTCCCCGGAGGACAAGTGGAGCCCGACCTCGTCCTAGAGGACGTTGACCCTTGCTGGGAGGACGCCCACCAGAGTGACAGCAGCAGCCTGGTGGGGACAGAGGTGGTTCCAGCTTATGAAGAAGAGAACGAAGTTATGGAGGAGATACCCAGGTGGGGAATCTGAGAAGGCCCTGAAAAAAATGAGTCATTGTTTGAGAAGGTGACAAGCACGCAGTGCAGAATCCCAAAGGTCTGAAAGGGCACGGAGCAGGGAACCAGCCTGCCCGCCCCTGCCTCAGACTCCACTCCCCACCCCTGTGGGTACAGCGGCCACCAGGTTCTTACACACTGCCCCAGAGACAGTCTGGGCATAGGCAAGCTCGCAGCCCGCCCCCTATTTATTTTTCTTTTGCACAGAAGATAGCCTATCGCGTATACCTATCTGCACCTTGCTATATTCAGTCAATATAGCTTGGGGTCTTTCTGCATTCAGTACGTGGAGCTCATCTCATTTTTTATGGCCACATAGTATTCCATTGTGTGTAGGTACCATAATTCATTTAACCCGCCCACTATTGACGGACACTTAGGTTGATTCCAAAACTTTGTTATTATGAACAACCCTGCAACAAGCGCTCTTGTATGCATGTCTTTGCACGCGTGTGAGTACGTCTGCAGGAAATTTCCAGAGTGGGGATTGCTGGGCCCCTGAGTGTAGAATTGTGGGTAGTGATTGCCATTTCACCTTCCGCAGGGATGTCACCATCTTTGTTCCCACTAGTGTTGCTTGGCGATAGCGGGAGGTCAAGCTGGGAGGTCTTGGGTTCTCAAGCCCATAACCTACATTGCTAAGATGGGGAAACTGAGGCCTAGAGAGGGTCAGAGGTTGACCTAGGGTCTCTACCAGGACAGTGGGGGCTGGGACAGACCGCTCGTGCAGTGAAGAGGGCGTGCTGCTGGAGGGAGCCCACGCTGCTCAGGTGGGGCTCCCCAGGCTGGAGGGCCTTGGTGGAGAGTCCAGGCCCAGTCTCGGGAGTCACGGGATGTCCTACAGAAAATGGGAAGGAGCTGGGTTCTGGGGGCAGTGCCAGGTGGGCTCACCTCCTGCCTCTAACCCCAACTCAGGGTGCTGCCCCGGATTGAAGAGGAGAAAGAAGAAGAGGAAGAGGAGAAAGTGGAGGAGGAAGAGAAGAAAGAGGAGGAAAAAGAAGAGGAGGAAGAGGAGAAAGTGGAAGAGGAAGAGGAGAACGAGGAGGAGAAAGAGGAGAAAGTGGAGGAGGAAGAGGAGGAAGAGAAGGAGGAAGAAGAGAAAGAGGAGGAGAAAGAAGAGGAGGAAGAGGATGGAGAGGAAGAGGAAGGAAGAGGAAGAGGAGGAGGAGGAGAAAGAGCCTGAGTAAGTCACTTGTCCCCCTGGCTAAGGAACGCCCCAGGAAGGGGGTTCTAGTGGAGGGTGCAGGGCTCCTAGGGTGGGAGCTCCTGCCCTTTGTTCTGTGCCGTGTGCCCTGGACTTCAACCAGAGAGGCTGGGAGAAGCTGGGGGTCCCCCGCTGTGCTCATAACAATCTGGAAGTCATATCACCCACCACTCAACTCCCCCCACTCACGCACATGCACACGCACGCATGCACGCACACACACAGATGCAACCTCTGTGAGGGCTGGGACTTTTGTCTGTTTTCACTGCCATGTCTCCAGAGCCCAGAATGGTGCCTGCCTGGTGCACAGTAGGCACCAAATAAGTGTTAGTTGGATGCATGAATGGATGCGTGGGTGGACATGCGCGGTGGGTTCGCGGCTCCCCATCATTGACAAAGCCACGGCTGTCTCCCCTCCGCGCCCCCACTGAGGCCAAGGTTGCCTCTGACGCCTCTAAGGCCGCCCTGGATTCTGCTCTGTTGCCCAAAATGGCCGATTCTCCACCAACATCCATAAAAATTTCAACATTAAAACACACAGAGGAGTTCAGTTAAAATAAAAGTTAAAAATGGAGATCGGAAACCACGAAGAGGGAGAAGGCCGTTAGCAACATGGGATGGACAGAAGGATGGTGGCAGGCGAGCGCCTGTGGGGTGCAGAGCAGGCAGCTGGACACCTGTGCCTGGAGTCAGGAGCGGGGCAGGTTGGGCTGCAGACGTGACGTTGGGATTCTGGTCACGTAGCTGGCACCGAAAGCTGTGGGGCTGGAGAAGGTGCCCAGGGAGTGAGTGTGGATAGAGGAGCGGCCCAAGGACCAGATTAGAGGTAGGGAGATGAGGAGGAACCCGAAAGGACTGAGGAGGCCCCTCCACTGAGCAGGGAGCGAGAAGAGTGTGGGGCCTGGAGGCCAAGTTAGAAAGCGTTTCAAGGAGGAGAGGCTGCCTCAAAAGCAGGCTGTAAAGGCCTTGAACTTGATTTCCCAAGAGCAATAGCAATAGGGAGCTGTTGAAGGTTTGTGAGCAGGAGAGTGGCATGATCTGGTAGCTGTGTTGGGGAGAGACTGAGGCAGAGGGGACAGTGAGGGGCTGTTGTCATGGATCAGGCAAGAGTAAGTTACTCTTTCCCTTGCTCCAGCCCCCAAGTCGGGGACAATGATAGCCTCCTGCAGAGGGGCCACAGGCCCGCAGTGATGATGGAAGTGGTAGGGCCTGGCCTGGAGTAAGTGCCCCATCAAGGTTCACTGGTGTTCTTGTCCCCACTGAGGGTCTTTTTTTGGTCCTGATCAGGAAATACTTAAACCACAAGACCAGCATGGGATTTCAGAGCTGAAAGCCTGTTCTGTGTCATCTGGTTTTAGTCCACCCTTGCTCAGTTCACATATAATCTTGCCATCCTTAATAGGAGGCCACACAATCTCTACTTGCTCACCTCCAATGACAGGGAGCTTACCACCTCTCAAAGGTCGTCTATTTCATCCATATGCACCTCTGACTTGTGAAATTATTCTTACACCAAAATGAAGCTTGCTTCCCTGTGGCTTCTATAACCCAGTCCTAATTCTGCCTTCTGGGCACCCTCCCCTGCAACCCCAGGAAGGTGAAGACCTTAGACGCTGCCTGGTTTCATCAGCGCAGGCTGTTTGCCCGCTGCTTTCTACCCGCCTCTACGTGGAGCGCACAGCTCTGAGTCTCTCCTCCACGAAACTCGTGCACCAACACACAGGCCTGAACATCCTGTATTTGCCACTGCTCTTGAGCTGAAACACCCCTTGAATGCCAGTGATTGACTGTGCTCACACATATGCACACGCACTAACTGTGCACGTGTTCTCAGAATGCAGTACACATAGGCACATGCACGCGCATGTCTGCACCATACACATATACCAGCACACAGACACAAGCCGCACACGCTGGGTTATGCACACTTATCTCCACACATATCCTGCATATCTGCGCAGACATGTGCAGCACACTCACACACGTTCACACACATGTGTGCACACAGGTACACGTGCATACACTTGCACATATCTGCACGACACCCTGGCAAACATGCCCATGCACACCAGCACATACCTACAGAGCTACCCACAGATGCTCTAGGCACACACACTTTCACACGAATGTTCACCCAGAGTTTTAAACTCAGGGAACTTTTGGGCCCCAGGCCCAGGGAGGGACAAGGGCACAATGATGACAGAGCGGGTGATCTGAGGGCCAGAGGGTGTGAAGCCTGGGGCAAATGGGGCTGCGCTGTCACTGTCTGGGGAAGGATGCCCTTGGCCAGCTTTGCAGAGGCACAGGTTACCGATGACGTGAGGGCCCTGGTAACAGGCAGATGGTCGCCTAGCGACTCGGTCTCTGCAGGCAACAGCTCGGCTTTTCCTAGCAACCGTGGCCTTTTGGTCCCACCTGGCCTCCCTGGGGGCGCTTCTGCAGTTCTCTGCACATCCCCTCAATCTGATTAGCAGCAGGAAGCATCGGTGGCTCATCTGCCACCCAAGCCACACTGGCTCGGGAGCTGGTCTCGTGGCTGGGCCGGGGCTCTGCAATTCTCCGCGTGCACGCGCCAACCCCAAGCGTGGGATGAATGTCACGGCCCCCAGCTGAACTGCTGCACCATGGGCATCCCTGCCGGCAAGGACAGACAGACCCAAGTAGGTGGCTGTTTCTCCCTAAGGGCTCCCCTCCTTCCTTCTTTTGGGGTTGGGATTTCAAGTGGAGTCTGCTGAAGGTGACAATGAGGACCTTAAACTTGGGGGCACAGCCTCCTGGGGGGCTTGGGGAGGAGGAATGACTGGTAAACCCTTGGGAGCTGGCTGCCCCTGCTGTTCCCTGGACCTTGGACTTGGGAAGCCTGGGGGCTTCCGGGAAGCCCAGCACAGCCTGTACCTATCTGGAAATCCCTGGGACTTGGGGACATTCTGGGAGTTGATAGCCTGCTGCTTCTGGGCTGGGCAAGAGGGGGCCTTCACAGGCACTGGGGAGCTGGGGCATTGTGGCTGTGGCACATGGGCCCCCAAACAGCCCCTGGTGATGTTGCCGGGGCCACCACAGGGCTCCTGATAGCTGGAGATATTTGTGCAAAATGTTTCCCAATCCATGTGGGTGATTTCATAACCCTGCAGGTTGCCACCTCCTCTGGGATTAACAACAATAATGACAAGAACAATAATAATCAAATCTACCATTTGATTAGTACTTCTTCCTGTGCCAGACACCGTGCTAAGGCAGCCTGAATAGCAGAGTCTATTACTAATCCCATTTCACAGATGAGAGAACTGAGGTTCAGAGATGGCACCCTGCATATCCGGGGTGCCCCGCCAGGAAGTGCAGAGCTGGGATTCTGTCCCGAGTCAGGCTGGGTCCAAAGTACTTTAGACACTTAGTACTAAAGACAAGGAACGCTGCTTACCAGTGTTTAGAGAGGAAGGATCCAGAAGAATCACAAAAACCACACTTGACAGTCTTTTCTGACTATTCTGTGAGATTCCCACTGGTCCTTCTGACCTCGGTCAAATAAGTCAGGCTGTACAGGCCCGGCAGAGGCAGCACAAGGGCTTCCAGGTGACTTGCCCGAGGCCATATACTGATTTCCTGGCCTGAAGCCAGAGTGAGCAGGACCCCGGGAAGCCTCCGGCTGGGACTCTGGGCGGTTCACTTCCTGAGCCTTGGAGCGGTAGGCAGAGCTGAGAAGGGCCCTATATCGTTTCAGGGAAAGACTCCAGCCAGCCCCCTTGCCGCAGAAGACCCCCTCGTAACCCATCTGTGCAAGGCGGACTTCATGTGGTGGGCACAGTGCTCCAAATACTTGTAGGGGTCCGCAAGAATGTTTTAATTTCTTTTAAAATCAGACCCCAAAATGAACTTTTAGATAGATGGTCATGTCTTAAGATATAACATTAACATATTAATATTTATTCAAATGAAGACATAAAAAATAATTTTTAATGTTTTTTAAAAATATTTTTTAAGGGGCCCATGAAGGCTAACATGCCCAGGACCCATGAAAGTCATTAATATGGCCCTGCTTTTTTTTTTTTTTTTTAAGAGGCAGGGTCTTGCTCTGTTGCCCAGGCTGGAGTGCAGTGTCGTGCTCACAGCTCACTGCAACCTCAGACTCGCCAGCTCAAGTAGTCTTCTCGCCCCAGCCCCCGAGCAGCTAGGACTACAGGTGCAGGCTGCCACACTTGGCTAATTTAAAACATTTTTGTAGAGATAAGATCTTGCTATGTTGTCCAGATTGGTCTCAAACTCCTGCTGGGACTATAGGCCTGAGCCACTGTGCCTGGTCTAGGGGTTTTCTATATATAAGATCCTGTCACCTATAAAGAGGGAGAATTTAACTTCTTCCTTTCCAATTTGGATGCGTTTTATTTCTTTCTCTTGCCTAATTGATCTGAGTGGGACCTCCTGTACTATGCTGCACGGAAGTGGGAAGACTGGTCGTCCTTGTCTCGTTCTGATCTCAGAGGAAAAGCTTCCAACTTTTCACCATTGTGTACAACGTTAGCTGTGGGTCTGTCATGTGTGGCCTTTATTATGTTGATGTACATTCCTTCTGCACCTAATTTGTTGACAGTTTTTATCATGCGAGGATGTTGAATTCTGTCCAGTGCTTTTTCTGCATCGATTGAGATGCTCGTATGGTTTTTGTCCTTTATTCTGTTGATGTGGTGTTTCACATGTGTCGATTTCTCGGAGTCACTTGGAGGAGGATCGGGGAGACAGTGTGTGCAGAGTGCCTGGCACCCAGCCCTGAGCTGGTGGCGATGCGATTAGTGGCTGATGGTTGCTCCCAGGCCGCCGGCTGCAACCCGACTGGGCCGCCGTCCCATCCCCACCGCCTTGCCCACTCGGGAGGGCTGAGCCTTGGCCCTCTGGGTAGAGGATAGTGACTCCAGGTTTTCTGGGTGGCAGAAACCCAGGAGCCCCTCAGTGACAGGAGGGTGGAGTGGGGCTGTTAGGAAGCAGGAACTACTCCTAACTACAAAAATCCCATCAGCCCCTGGTCCTGAGTCATTTTAACCCAGAAGTCACACGTGGACATCTAAGAGCCCAATTAAGCCTAGAGACAGGCTCTTTGGATATCTACATATTAATATGATATATTAATTTGAATTAATTATCAGCATCTAAAATCAGAAAATTCCATCTTAAAAACATATAGTTAAAAAATTTAAAAAAAAATTTTAAGGGGGTAGGGACTGTCTAAAAAAAAACATATCATTGTCTCCTTTTGAGAATTGGAAGATCTGGCCACCCAGGTACCCATTCCAAGTGGACTGGGGTTGGCGCCTTTAGCTGGACATGGGTTCTTCAGTTTGTGACAGTCCTCCCTACCCCCTGCATCCTTGTCCCTGGCCCTGTCACTTACGTATGCCTGCTGCTGGGCCAGGGGCTCCCCAAATCATCAGCACTTGCAGTGTGGCTCTGATCTCACGGCGTGGAGGGAACCAGGGCCTGGGTTTGAGGTTTGTGTGGTTTGGGACAATTTGCTGTGTGATTTTGGCCAGGTCAGTTCACCTCTCTGGGCCTCACTTTTCTCAACTCTCTGCATCACCAAGGTTGCCTGGAGGCTTTCTGGGGGAGGCCTGGGCACATATTCTGAAACCCTACAGTGCCCTGTGGGCTACACCCCAGAGGACAGCTTCTCCCACCGTCCTCCATGCTTTGCTGGGCACACGTTGTTCCCCCTTCCTGGACACCCTTCCAACACCTGTTCCTGGTGGTAAAATCATCGCCCTTGAGGCCTGGGTTACAACAGGCCACCTCCTCTGGGACGCCCTCTTTCCTAGCAGAGCTGTGGCGTGTCCTTCAAGGCTCCCTGCTGAGTGCGCATCTCAGATGGAGTGACGCTCAGCAGGACACTGCCCTGGGAGCCTCAGGACGGGGAGGACCTGTTCTTGGGCATCCCTGTGCCTCCTGCTCTTGGCACAGAGCCTGGCACTCAGGAAACCTTTCACACCCCTAACCCCAGTCCTCTTCTCCTGCCCCCTGGGCGTCACAGAGTCCTGCTGGATAGCTGTTTGGTGGAGCAGGTGTGCGTGGACCAGAGCGCAGTAGACGAGACCCAGTCCCCGGAGGCCTCATACCAGGTATGGGGAAGCACCAGGCGCCAGGGCACCTCTGAGGCCTGGCCTGGTGTCGGCGGCGGGGCTGGGGCCTTGTCCCCCTTGTTTCCAGGGGGCTGTTTGGCTCGTGAGATGCCCACAGGACAGAGGGGAGCAGGGTGGCGGGTCCGGCAAGGTCCTGCTCAGAGCAGGGTCAGATGGTGTCAGGAAAGGCCTTGGCCGTGGGCGAAGACTCGGGTAGATCTGGGCTCCAGTCCCCACGTGGCTGTCTGACTCTGGGCAAGTCGCCTCCCCACCTGGGGGCCTAAGCGGCCACCTGTGAGAAGTGTGGCTACACCTGCCTTCCTGGGGTTTGTGGGGGGATCTGAAAGGGCTCGCACACGTGAAGTGCGGTCCTGGGGTAGGGAGTCCGTGGTGGCTGCTTTAGTGGTCTTGTCCCCAAGTGTACGGGGCTGCACGGGGAGTTCCCTTCATTGCAGGTGACAAGTCCAGGGCTTAGGGCCTGAGGCTCCTTTGTGCACTGCGCTCTGCAGGCTGTGGCCCACCTCCCCACATGCCCAGAAGGTGGCCGGGCAGGGGCGGCTGGCAGGGCAAGGGGCAGGATCGGGCCCACGCGGACTTCTGGAGGCAGATCGCCCGGCTGGGCCGACGGTCACAGCTTCTGTCTCCACTTTCACTTTTGCAGGAGGTGCTGGAGGAGGCTGAGTTGGAGGCGGAGGCTGAGTTGAAGGCTGCGGTTGAGTCTGAGTCCGAGGCCGCCAGCTCAGGAGGTAGGGGCGCGGTCGCGGGGGCCGTCCAGGAATGTCAGCCTCAGTGCAGGGGCGACCGCTCCTCCTCTCCCTCCATCTCCTCCTCAGCTTCTGTGTCTTGGGGCCACGTTATCAGAGCCCGATGATGGAGTTCCGAGGCCCTAGGGGAATTGAGCTGAGGCCCCCGGACTCCCAGAGGGGCCGGGGAGACCCCACTCCCGGCCAACCTCTCCTGCCAATTCCGCGCAGTGAGAACGCAGCTCTCTGGGCCACGGGCAGCCCAGCGAGGGTTTGACTTAGACATAACATTACTGAGTGAAAACTGGGACCAGAGCTTGCAAACAGCATGTCCTAGACCCCTCGTCTCTTTATGAGGCGTTCCTGGCTGCCAAGATCCCCGGCTGCAGCCAGCACGGGCTCTTTGCTGTTATTTACCACCCCACCCCCGACCCTGAGGACTCCAGGAACGGTGGGGAATCCAGGCGAGCCGAACGACGGCCGGGCAGGTAGCTGGAGACAGGTGGACCCCGAGCCCTGGCCTGCGGGTATTACGTACCTTACCCTCCTCCACGTTCCCCAAGCCACAGGTGTTTCCACAGGGAGGCACAGAGACCATTTTACAGATGAGAAAACTGAGGCTCGGTGTGTGCCGCATTTGGCCCAGAGGTCAAGGCACAAACCTACAGTTCACTCCTGGCTCCTCTTTCTCTTCCTTGCTGTGTGACCCAGAGCCAGTGCTGTGACCTCTCTGAGCCCTGACTCCCAAATCTAGATGAATGGGGCAATAACAGTCCCTACCCCACAGGTTGTTGGGCAGAGTAGGGGCGACAGTGCACCCAGAACTGTGGCTGGCACTGAGGGAGGCATCAGTAATGGGGACGATGATATGTCCCAGCCAGCCAGGGACAGAAATGAGGCTGCACCCAGGTGTCCTGACCCTGGGTGTCTGGAGCTCGCTGCCCACTTGTCTTTTGAAAAGGGTTCTCTGTTAACTTGGACACACACCTGTGGGAAACCTATGCAGTCCCGGCCCGAGGCTGGGCCGCCACATGGATGAGTAAGACCAGGAACAAACAGGTGCAGACCCAGGCTCTGTGGGACTGTCTGTGCCCGCTTGCTTAGGTGATTTGGAAGCAGGTGGTCTGGGAACCACACTCCGAGAAGCACTGAGAAATAGCCATTTGTCACTACTCCAAAGTGTGGACCTAGAGCCAGCAGCTGTGGCGTCACCTGGGAGCTAGTTGGAGATGCAGAATCCCAGGCCCCATCCCAGACCTGCAGCATCAGAGTCTGCGCGGTGGCCAGTTTGTCTGCATGTTAGTGTTTGAGAGGCCACAGCCTTGAGCCCTGGTTCTCCAACTCGACTGCACATTGGACTCGCTGGGGAGATTTCAAAATTCCTGCTGCCAGACCTCATTCTAGACCATTAAGTCAGAATCTCCGGGGGTGGGCCCTGGACATCAGAAATCTTCAGACCTCCCCAGGTGACTCCAGTGTGCCACCAAGTTTGGGCCCCAGCACCCTAGGAAGAGTTACTGCTTCTGCTTAGAAGTGAAATGAATTGACCTCCAGGGTTTCTCTGGACTAGAAAATTCTACCAGGCTAAGAATGTTGGAGTCCAGGGTTCTTTGGGTCTAAGAGTCTTAGTGTCTATCAGTTCTGGGTTTGTTGATTCTGACTCATTTTGAGTCTGAGATGGGAAATGCTACTTCTGGTAGAGAGCATGAGAAGTTGGGGGGCTGCCGGGCTGTCTCTCAAAGCTCTTGGGCAGACCAGCCACATGACTTGATGACGCATTAGATGTTGAACTCCAGGGACAAGAGTGCGCTTTGGACCTTGGGCGGCACTGCTGCCAGTGCAGGGGGCTCCAGGCTGGTGTGTTGGTGCTGGTGGGAGGAGCCCACTTACCTTGCCTCCCCCAACTCTGTGCTCCTGACTGTAGTCTCCAGGGTCCTGCCTCTGCCTGAGACCCTCTGGCCCCAGCACCATGGCTAACGCAGGCTGGAATATGGAGCTGAACCGCCTGGTGCAGGACCAGCTGCCTGGCCAGATGGCCCCTGGGCCTGGCCCCCCAAACCTGGCGGAGCACCTCCCCAATGTGCCCATCTACCACTGCCGCCCAATCACCCGCATCCCTGTTCTCACCTCCCGGAGAACCACCTTGTCCAATTCCAGCTTCGCCAAGGAGACCAGGAGCTCCATCTGTCGCCTAGGTAGTGTGACCTCACCTACTCAGCATGTTTGTGTCCGTGGTGTGTGCTTCTGCATGGCTTGGACTGTCTTCCCACGCGGGTGCCATGGTCATGGCATGTGCTCATGGAAAACCACCCCTTCTTGCTCTGCTGATCAATGCCTTCATCCTGCTTTGTGGTGGTTACTTGAGGGATTTTAGTCCCATGCCTATAATTCCACAATCAGTAATTCTTTTCTCTTGGTTAAACATTCCTTTCTGCAGTCACTCACACCTTAGTTTAAACAAGTCACTCAGATCTCCAGGCCAAGAGGCTTGGGCAGGGAATCTGGGATGGGGCAGCAGTGAAAGGAGAGAAATAGAACAGAAGAGGAATGTGGGGGCCCAGTGCAGATAGGATCTACTCACGAGAGTTTGCTGGGAGCTGGACTTTCTGCTAGGCAAATTCCGTTTCAGGAAAGGAGAAGTCCCAGGTGCAGGCAGGCGGACGAAGAGGAGAGGCACCCTCAGAGGCCAGTGTAGGGGGAAAGCCTGTCTGGGTCCATTTAATTGTGACAAGGTCCCCATAGTGGCATTCCGGCTGCAGCTGCTCATTGCCTGATGACAAAGCACTCAGGGACATCCTGGCACCTCTGGACTAACCGCTGTCACTTTCTGCCTTAACCCAAGCCAGACCTGCTCACTTTCCCTTTTGATTTGACAGTGTGTGTGTTTTTGGTTGACACTGTGCAAAGCTGCCTGACATCAGCACAGGCAGTTAGAGCTGCACATTTTATGAGAAGAAGTCGTCTATGGCCATACCGCCCTGAATGTGTCTGATCTTGTCTGATCTTGGAAGCTAAGCAGGGTCGGGCCTGGTTAGCGCTTGGATGAGAGAAGAGGTCCACTGTGATCCCTTCCTCGTCTACCAGGGTGGTCACAGAAAGGGGATAAGGTGGGGTGCAGGTCCTCCTGCAGTAAGGGGTGCTCCCCCTTCCAGTGGGCAACCCTCAGATCTACTCCTCCAACGCCCACCCCACAGACCACTCCCTATCAATGCTACTTTATTTACTTACTATTTTTCTCCCAGTGGATTCTCTTTTTTATTTAATAATGTGTATTTAAACAGGAAAACTGCTTATTATTATTCAAATGGAAAACCAGTATTGCTTGTCATAAACAGAAGGCGTAAGTAGAAATACCCACAAATACACTGAAAGCAAAATGGTGTGACGGTTTCTAGTGAGATCGGTGGCCCGCTGGAGGCTCGTAGCAGAGGTCTACTCTCTTAGCAAAAAAAAAAAAAGGGATTGGGCGGTGTCAGAGGCGCTAAGGCCATAGTAGCAGTAACCGGAGACTTCCTCTCTGTGGTTTCAGGATCTAGAGAGAATTAAAATAGGAGCAACACTCTCTGTCATCTTCTGTCTTGTCTGTGCCACCCAAGGTCATCTTGTGTCTTCCCTGGTCCCCGGGAGCCCCACACTTTGGGAAATGTTCCCAGGGACACATTGGGACAGTGGACAGACCTAGCTGTGGTAGGACACAC